GGCATGGGTGGAGAGGGTGCAGACGAGCGTACGTGGGCGGCACCTGCAAGAACACGGCGTGTGGGGTCTGGCTTGTCCTCAACGCTCCCCTGAGGTGGGGCAGCTGGATGGGGGCAGAGGGAGGCCAGACCTGCCCCAGCCAAGACCTCAACCCAGAAATGCCCCCAGCCCAGGGCCCCACGGCCCACAGCCTTGTCCCCAGGCCCGGCCACCCCTGCCTGGCCACGCTGGGCCTGCACCCCTTGCTCCCCAGCAGGGCCTGCTGAACATCTGCCTCTGTGCGGCGTGTGCCTCGGGTCCCTCACGCACTCCGCCCCCGAGCAAGGGGCTGAGGGGAACATGAGGGCGCGGAGCACGAGACGCTGCCCTGAGCTGAGGCCTCCGGGAAGCGGATCCCCCAGTACTTCCTGCCCAGGGTTAGGCCTCCAGCCCCCAGGGAGAAGGCAGTGCCCACGTGGGTGATGGGGTGACCTATGTCCCCTAGCATTCATCTGGGCTCTGGTGCGGGTCCAGGCAGTCACTGTGGCTCTGGGCTACCCAGGGAGAACGCAGCTTGCAGCAGGAAGCCCTAGACCTGTGGGTCTCAGCCTTGGCTTCATGTAGGGTGCATGGTAACAGGATGGCACGGCACCTCCCCAGGGAAATCCTTCGTTAAACAGAACCATCAACACCTCGTGGGGTTCCTAGCGCTTGAAGGAAAGGCACCTCCACAGCCTCTTTCCCTCAGCTCCCAGGCAGGGCTTGGGGCCACTGGGCTGGGACTTGGCAGAAAGTGGTTTCTTGATTTGCATCTGAGGCCTCAGATATTGCTTCTGGGGTGGAGCCACTCCAACAGGATGACCAGGCTGGGTCTCTGTGGGTGGACACAGGCCTGTGCTGCACCCAGCACTGCCCCTGAGATCTTGCTGGGTACCACGGACTGGGGGACAGCACGTCCTCTGAGAGTGACAGTAGCAGCTTAGGTTCCCTGTGGGCCTCTGGTGATGCCTCCAAGAGGAAAGGACCACATTGCCCCGCTTGCAGCCTGGGAATCTGGCACAGAGTAAGTCAGTCGAAGGTTGACTGCTGGTCACTAGCAGGCAAGGGTTTGGACGTCTGTGCTTCAGAAAAGTTTTTGAAGAGGCAATGAGTCTTTAGCTCAGTTCAGCAAATGCAGAGGGCCATGTAAAATCCCATCCAGAGTGGGGTCTAGAAGGTCCTGAGAGGGCAGCTGGGTTCTGGAATGGTGCCAGCAGCACCAGAGACATTGCTGGTGAACTGCATCTGTAATTTCATTTTTCTGGTGCTAGGGATTGAGCCCAGGGCCTTGCACGTGCTAAGAATGAGTTCAACCATCAAGCTACGCTCCAACCCCTGTACTTTGTTTGGGAGACAGGGTCACACTATGTGGTTCAGGCTAGCCTTGAACTCACTATGTAGCCGAGGCTGGCCTCAAGCTCACGTTGATCCTCCTGCTTCAGCCTCCCGAGTACCGGGATATAGGCGTGCATCACCACACCCAGCCAACTCCTGCACTTTTCATTTAACTGAATGCAGCCGCTATGCGTGACAGCGCCAGAGAACATTTCAGCACCGCGGACAGCTCCCCGGCCCCAGCAGGACCGGCGCCCGGCCCGGGATTACTGCTGACATTTCTGCAGGTCCCCAGTCCTGCGTGTTCCTGGGCTTCCTCCAAGTGAGCAGGGTGCCCTGTGAACAGCCTGAGGCCCCAGCTATGCACGATCAGCCTTCACAGTGTCTCTGTGGGGACAGGGGCAGACACGTTATTCTGAAGTGAGGCACGGACAGACTCGAGGAGACAAGCGCTGATGTGGCTGTGAGACCTCTGCTTCTTCCCACGGGTCCCAGGGTACTGGGTAGACCCTGCAGCCCACCTCCGTCCTCACCTTGCTCCTGAGCTGGGGACAGCAAATGTGGTGGATGATAAGTGCAGCCGGTCAGCTCCAGGACCAAAACCACCCTCACCAGTCTCAGCTGTGATCCTGGCTGGCCCACCCCCTGGGGTCTCAGTTTCTATCTGGGACTTCTGGGCAAGGCCGTTTGCTGATTCACTAGTGAGTGCTGCCTGGCTGGACACGACATTAGGAAACTCGTAACCTGTGGTGAGAGCAAGCCTGGGTCTTCCACTGTGCCCAGCCAGCACAGGGCGTGGGCGGCACCTGTTGGGCTCCGGTGGCTGGGCAATGTCTCCGAGTGTCACAGCTGAGTAGCCAAAAGGACATATGAGGGTCGAGCACACGGCAAGTGAGTCCAAGAAATGCAAAAGTCAGGTCTCAAAGGGCCTCGAATGAGGAGTCTGCAAACTCCCATGCTGCCTGGGAGCTAAGAGTGCTTTTTACTTCCTTATTTGAGACAGGGTTTGCTATGCAGTTCAGGCTGGCCTTGAACTTGTGGTGATCCTCCTGCCTCAGTATCCTGAATGCTGGGATTACAGGTGTGTGCCACACCTGGCTGACTTTTGCATTTTTAAGAGCTTGGAAAGAAAAAAAAATGTTACACAAAACCAAAGTTTCATAACCAATCAGTAAAGTTTTGCATTTTATAAAAAATGTGTAGACGTGTTTTCTGCTAGATAAATGACATGGTATCTTTGGTTTTTGCCCTGCAAAGCTAAAAACACTTATTATCTGGTGATTTGTATTTATTCATTTACTTAGCACCAGTCTCACTGTGTCACTCAGACTGGCTTCAAACTCCTGGACTCAAACAATTCCGCTGCCTCAGTCTCCAGCCCTTGGGACTGCCGGTGCCCAGCTCTGGCGACTTACAGGGAGAGTTTGCCAACTGTGCCGATACGGCAATAATGGATGCTTAAAGGCAGAGGGGCCTCACCATGCAGGTTTTCCACGTGCTCCTCCTGCCCTCCTGTCGTGTGGGGTGACAGAGGCGGCACAGAAGGCAGAACAGTGAGGAGGTGGTGCCTACGCCTGGAGCAGGAGGGCCTGGCAGTGGAGAAAATGTGGCAGGAGCGGGTTGGGTCTGGACCTAGTCTTGTGCCTACCTCCTGCCTCACTGACCCGCACCCCACTATTTGCCCACCTCACACCTCGGGGTTCATCCCTTGACCCTCTGTGCCACTCTGCAGCTGCGCCTGGGGGCTGTGTCTCAGTCCTGAGCAGAGGCCGCAGGGCGCTGTGATTGGCAGGGACAGGTTCCTGTCTCTTGGGCACTGCCTCCTCCTCCCTACTCACGCCCAGCAGTCGGGCTTTGGGTCCCGGCCTTGACCTGCGCAGGGCTGAGATTCTGGAAGTGAAACATGGCTGGTGAGCACAGGCTGCAGGAAGCAGGTATGGTCACAGACGTGCGCAGGCCCTCCTGGGACAAACAGCAGGTCACGCTGCTTGCAGCCTCAGTCCCTCCCAACCCCTCCCCTCTCAAAAGCGCGTCCACAGCAGCGAAGCTTACAGTATCAGAGCTGGGAACACCCCAAATGTCCACTGACTGATGCATGGGTCAATGAACTATGGCATACCCATCCAACTGGGTATTTCCATCCAGAAAAGGAACAAAGAACTGATACCTGCTACAGTGTATGCCCGGTGAAAAATGCAAGACAGAAACCACATACTGTGTGACTCCATTTATATGATGCACCAGAGCAGAGAACATGGAGACAGAAAGGAAGTTGGCGGTTGTCAGGGACTGAAGCAGGGGGAACTGCAGAATAGCTCTGGGGTACAGGATGCACTCGCACCCAAGGTGACACCCATGGCACATACATGGCGTCAGGTATGAGGACACCCTCCACGCTGGTGTGTTCTACGGGGTGGCACACCTCTCCACAGGCACACACTTGGGTCCCCACCACAGGACAGCGTCACACTCAGCACACAGCTGGGGTCTCCCATGTACACGGCAGTCAAGACGCAGGATGCCCCGCTCCTGGCACATGTGTGGCCTGAGATGCCCAGGCTATCCCCTGCACACCCCATCCGCCTACTGCACTGCTAGTACCACACACACTCCGGTGCAGGGACCACTTGAGCCTTGTTTGAGACCAGCCTGGGAAACAGTTCATTTCCCACTGACCCTGAATATTTCTCCATTTTTTGAAAACTATTTTTAAAATGGCTCCATTGTATGCATGTTATTTTGACGCTGGATATTGAACCCATGCCTTGCACACGTGCTTTACCACTGAACTACTCTGCCGCTCCACTGTGTGAATCTATCACTTCACACCCCACCCCATCTCCTGCTTAGCTGGAAACTGACCAATTACAAACACATGCGATGGATGTGCTTGTTTTTTCTGTATGTCCTTGCTGACTGCCTAATAATGGGTAGATCCTGTACCCTCTGGTGGTGATGCAAACTACCTTAGTTAGTTGAGGGATGTCCTTAACAGTTGTGAGACTTGAAAATTTTATCCACATGCAGAAGGCCTGTGTGATGTGAAGTGAGGCCTGATGTCACAAGGGTAAACTTGACAAGTCCTCTCAGCTATTTGAGTTTGTATCAGTACTGTACAACAGAACTTTCTGTGACAATGGGAATGAAACTAGTAAAGAGCTGAAAGGTGGTTAGTGACTGATGTACTGAATTTTGGGCTTAAATTCATTGCTAAATAGCTGTATGTGGCCAGGGCTGCCATACTGGACAGTGTGTTCTAGAAGACGTCTCACAAGAAATGCACAGGAGTCTGCTTTTCAGGATGGATGCATATTTTCTTCTAGTTGCCCTTGGCAGAAACAACCCGAATGTGAGGAGGTACAGAGATACTATTTGTGTTGGGAGCTCTCATAATAGGGGTTGAGAGGGAATTTAATAAGCTAATGCAGACATTTTTGTGTGCCTTCCAGATACTATTCATCTTTGGTACTGTCAAGAAGTTGAAGCTATATTAAACTCAGTTGGTCTCGTTCACTGAACACACACATGTATATACAGAACAGGTGATTAAGACACCCAAGAATCCCTGATGATGTGGACATTCTGCTGGGGAGAGGCAGACAGCAAACAATGCAACGAATTATAAAACTTACTTTAAATGGACGGAGTCGAGGTTTTTGTTAAATTTATTTTTTGAACTGGTAATACTTTTACATGTTTCAAAATTCCAAAAATGTAAAAAGATATAGAGTGAAAATATTCCTCCTCCCCACTCCCCTTTTCTTTCCCAAGGGAGCCAGTATACATATTTTCTTACTTCTGGATATTACGTGTGCATACACATACATTTCCTCTTTACACAAATGAAACATACTACACAGTTTTACACTTTGCTCATTTTCACTTCTCATGTTAGTATATAAGGACAGGGTCCATTTTTTTGGTACTGCGAATCAAACTCAGGACCTTGCACCTGCCAGGCAGGAGGCTGTGCCACTGAGCTATATCTCCGGCCCACAGGATCCATCTTTAAGGCTGTGATATCTATTCTATCATAAATTACTTAGCCAGTTCTCCATGGTGACTTCAGCTGTTGCTTCCAAATTTTTTACTTTAAAAATCAATAGTATAATGAAAACTATATACAAACCATTTGCATATGTACAAATATGTTGTGAGACTCATTCCCAGCAGGTTTCCTGAAATAAAACCTTTCTGTATTTGTAATTTAGATAGTGGCTGCGAAACTGCAGTCCACGTGAGCTTCATCAACTCCCATTGGAAATGCACAGGGAATGTCTCTACCCCTCTGAGAAAACCCGAAGCTGGTAAAGCGCTGAGTGAAGGGCGGTGCATCGCTCCTGAAAGGTAATTTAAAAGCTACACGAAACTCCTTGACAGGGAAAATGCTCAAAATATAGTAAAAAACATGGGTTACAAGAGAACACGAAAGGACTCCAAATTTCTAAACACAAGATAACTACACACACACATATATGTTTAAGATTTAATGTACACTCTGTATATGCATCTACCTGTTTAAAAAAATTGTAAGGAAAAATTAGCATAATCTTCATGGTAATAACTATCTCTGTGTGGTTAAAGCATTAGAATTAAATTCAAATGAGTTTTTCTTTTTTAAAAAATTTTTGTGTACTTTCCAAGTTTTGGTTACAAAGAACTTGCGTTACTTTATAAATAGGTAAAACCATGATTTCTCCTAGTACCCGGTAGTTTCCCGAGGAGTTTCTGACTATTCCAAAACACCCACAAGACGATCAGTAGGAACACCATGACGGAGCACGAGCCGGACCGAGAAATGACACCAGTGCTTGCTCCTTGCACTGCTGCCTGTCCCCATCTGACCAGCCGGGTTGCTGGGACCTCAGCCCTCCCAGTCTTCCTTCCACTCTGGAAAATGTCCAAACATGCCCTCTTCAAGTCCTGCAGTTTTGGGGTCAAGGTGGAGGGCACAAGGGAATCACAGGCCCGGCCTCCAGAGCTGTCTCGAACCATGACGTTACTACTGCTCCCTGGGCAGTCCCAAGTCTCAACCCTAAGCCCTGATGGGGCAGTGAGGAGGAAGGGTCCCAAGTGGGTCTGGTACCAGGCTGCCCCGGCTGGCCTGGCTGGTAGCACGTCACCTCCCTCTCAGGGCAATGGCAGTGGAGACGGAGGAACAGACTCGTCTAGGTGGGCAAGTGGCAGTTTCGGGGGAGCTTACGGCTTGTGTGGCAGCAGCTGCCCAGGAGACAACTGCTATTGGGAGCCCAAGCTCAGAACTCAGAAACACCCGAGACTCAGAGTTGGGGCAGGCAGCACAGCCAGCGTATGGATGACACCCGGGGACCCCAGTGGGTAAGAAGGGGGAACCAAAGCCCCTGAAGAGGTGGAGGGGAGAGGGGTACCACAGGAGTGCGGCCGGCAGAGGGGAAGCCAAGGTGGCCTCAAGACAGCTATGGCAAGGGCAGTTCCTGTGAAGGTGGGACAGAGGTAAGGGGCTGAGGTGGACGCTGGGAGCCCAGGACGGTCTTCCGAGAGCTGGAGGAGAAAGCCACAGAGGCTGCTAGCTGCCTGCACATCACCCGACTCCTGGGGCTTGTCTCTTACCTGCGCCCTCCACAGAGGTGAGAAACACGAGACGCCACCTTTCTAAGTCTCCTTATTATTAGGGAGGCTCTGTGACCCAGTCTTGGCCAATGGGTCACACCTGGGTATGCAATACTGGCTCCTGGGAGAGTCTTTTGTTTGAAACATCCTCATGTTTCCCAACTGCTTCGTCTTCATTAGAGATGCAATGGCTGGAGCTGTAGCCATCTCTCTGTGACCATGGGGGAAGGCCTGAGAGGCCTGCAGAAAACACTGGTTCTGACCTCACGGAGCCACTGGAAAGTCAGCCTTGGAACAAAGTTAGTTTCAGCCACTGTCGCTGGGCACTGACATCAAATTCTGACTCCATCACTTCCTGTCTGTGTAACTTCAGGCGGGTTACTTTTGTCTTCTGCTTAATTTTCCTCCTCTGTGGAATGGCACTATCACACAGAACCACCATGGGCAAAGTACGCCAGAAGGTGCTCCCTTTCATGTAAAGGGAAAGTCATCTGCTAAGACGAAACAGCAAAGGGAGCAGGTCAATGAATGGTGCAGTTACTATAACAAGGCAACCTGGGTCTGGTCACGCCTGTAATCCCAGCACTCGGGAGGCTGAGGCAGGAGGATGTTGTGAGCTTGAGACCAGCCTGGGCTACAAAGTGAGCTCAAGGCCAGCCTGAACTGCATAGGGAGACCCTGTCTCAAAAAGACAAAAAAAAAAAAAAAAAAAAGCAATCTGGAAAGTGAAGCACAAGAAAAACAAACCCAGGGCTTGGCGAGGTCCTGCAGACATGAAGCAAAAGGTGGAACACAGCACCCTGGAAGCCAGGTGTACCCCGTGAAAACCCTGGTATGGCGGCACTCCCAGCATCCAAAGAACAGAGGAAGACCCAGAGAGCCCCAGTGGCAGTGCATGGCAGGTTCAACCATCCGACCCTGGGTAAGAGCTTCCCTTGCATCTTCCAGGATGACCAGTCTTCCAACTCCACCTGGTCAATCCGAAGTACCCCCTGCAGTTAAGGTTTAGGGACTTGGGGGCTGGGGATATAGCTCAGTGGCACAGTGCCTGCCTGGCAAGTGCAAGGTTGTGAGTTCGATTCCCAGTACCGGAAGCAAAACAAAACAGAACAAAAAAGGTTTAAGGACTATTTCTGCACGCTGAGCTGTACCACGCTCTATATTCCTTCCTTCTGAGTTCTGAGGCAGATGGTATCTAACATTACTAGAATGCAGCTGCAGTGGGAACACCAAATGGAAGAGCAGCCTGGTTAAAGCTGGTACCAACAGGCACTGCTCTGTCCAAGCCAGGGTGGCCCACTGTCGCAAGCCCACAATTCACTTTATTTTACGTTAAAAAGTAGGTTTAAAGGAGATAAGTCTTCTGGAGATGGAGGAAGAGGAGGGAGTAAAAAGAATTAAGATGGACTGAGTACAGATAGCTACCCCCTTAAAACGAATGAAAACATCATGCACTGTGAACATGTACTAAGACAAAACAATTTAAGCAAGTTTAAGTCCTTGGTTTTCATATCCTTGTGCTGAGACACCAAGAACCACACTTAAGCTGCTGAGTTGCCAAGGTGGACTTGAAGTTGCGATGTTCCTGCCTCAGTCTCCACAGTAGCTAGAATTACAAGTGTGCACCACCAGTGTCAAATGTGTTAAAGATCACATTTCATACACGATGTTCTTTTTATGACAAGAACTGCATGGACCAAGGTCAAAAACCTTTTTCTTTGGATAAAGAAAGGAGGAAAGCAAAATGACGAGGGCAAAGTTTCCCAGAGTGGACATTACGATGTCTGTTAAGCTGGGTGTATCTGGGGCTGTGCTCCTGACAATTAGCACTTTGGGAGGCCAGGCACCTTAGCCAGACCCAGTCTCAAAATGAAAAATGAAAAAGGGCTGGTGATGGAGCTCGGTGCAAATGCTCTGAGTTCAAACCCTAAAAAAAGTCCATCACGTCCAAGTGAGGAGGTTGTGATGGGCATTGTCGGGGGGAATGAAAGTTTAGGCTTTTCTGTTTCCTTTTTTCTTTTCACAGATAAAAGACTAAATAAGAAACTGGGATTAAAAGAGATTTAAGAAAGAGACATCACCCAGATGTGCTGTGGGGATCTTGTTTACATGATGACTATTTTGGAGCCAGAAATGTCTGAACACTGGCTAGTTGATGCCGCCTGCTCAGACATAATGACAGCATACAGTTCTATTTGAGATTCAACAGAACTCAGCTTTTCCTGTTTCACCACAGACTTTAAGTAACATGAACATTTTTCTGTGATGCTGAGCTGGAGAACATGAGCAATGACCCTGGGGCACTGGTACGATTCAAACTCAGGCCCAGCTGCATTACCCATTGCTGCTGAGTACTACCTTTGTCAGTGTCAGGTGGGTAAGGCCACATTACAGAGCAGTGTGATGACCACGACAGCTTGTCCCTGGGGGTGGCTCGGTGTGATGACCACGACAGTCTGTCTCTGAGAGGGGCTCAGTGGGATGACGACGACAGTTAATCCCTGAGAGCAACACGACAATGTGTACGAAGTCCTGGCTTTTAGAAATACAGTCAGAAATATGGATGAAGTAATGTGAGACTGATGTGAAAATAACCCAGATAGGAGAAGATGGAGAGGAGGTGGGAGAGACAATGAAAATGTACCACCCCTGCTTTAAAGCGCATACCACAAATGCTAAGAGGTTATTCAAAAGTAAGTGGATTCTGTGTTGTTCTTATAACAGTTATGAATACTGTAAAAAAGGTGAAGGTTCAGAAATACTACACGGTGGGTAAACTAGCTCAGGACTCTACCTGGATAGACTCAAGGAGAGCTGAGATCAATTTAGAATCTAGAAAACTCGAGTCACAGTGCTGGACTGGATTTCTACAGGTTTTTTCACTCTGGACAATTTTTCAACAAGGAGCTGTAGCACTGCATCTGGGTACTGCAGGACATCAAGCAGCATCTTCGGTCTCTACTGAAAGACACCAGTGGCATTCTTTTTTTTTTTTTTTGTCTTTTTTGAGACAGGTTCTCGCTATGCAGTTCAGGCTGACCTTGAGCTCACTTTGTAGCCCAGGCTGGTCTTGAACTCACAACGATCCTCCTGCCTCAGCCTCCTGAGTGCTGGGATCACAGGCGTGCGCCACCATGCTTGGCTACCAGTGGCATTCTTTCACAGAGACCAAATATGTTACCAGACATCCTCCGGGGGCCAAGCCCCCACATTTGAGATCCTCTGCCCTACAGTGACACTGGCTCTTCTGAGGCTCTTCTGAGACCTGTGACTGCCCAGGGAACGTTGGGAATTCTGTGAGGGCTCCTCTGTCCCAATTTGGGGGTATGTGAATGAAATCTGGGCAGGAGCCATGTGTGCTGCCACAGCTGAAGTGCTGAATGGTCACTGGTGGGTCATGTGCGCAGGTGTATAACACACAGTGATAGTGAACTTAGGCTCTAACCTGGTCTCACCTGTAAGCATAAATTAATTGTTGCAGGCTCAGAGTTTATACACGACTTCCCAGAAATGCAATAGCATTTTGTTTTGCTCAAAATGTTTGCAAGACTTAGCTGACACTTGGGAAAATCACATCCTGCAGAGAACGCCCCTTGGTGTATCTGTGGCACCAGCACACCTGGTGCTAGTCTGTAATAGGCAATCACTGGTCTCTGGTGTGACACCTTACACAGGACATGGTGAGATACCTCATGGACTAGATTTGACCATGAAGAACTTTGATTTTTAGCTTCCCTTTACAAAACCGGACCATATATTATTTTTCTACATTATACAAAGGACAATTTTTGTTGTTTCTTTTTTTTTGAGATAGGTTCTCACTACATAGCTCTGGCTTGCCTTGAACTCCTCTGGATCCACCTGCCTCTGCCTCCTAAGTGCTGGTATTTATACACGTGCCCCAACACCCAGCTGGGGGCAGGTTTTATCACTCGTGGACTCACTCTGGCACAGTGCCGAGAACATCCTAGACCTCAATTGCTAAGGGACCCCAGGCTTGAAGGTCTGGGACTCAGCACTTCCTGAAGGTACGGGTCACTACGGCAGCAGACAGCCCCAGCCCCTCCTGCCAGACACAGTATGCAACTTACCACGTCTGCACACCTGAGGGTCAGAGGTCACGGCCAGTGCTTGTCTCCTAGGTGGACTCCCTGTGGTTGAACACAGTGGAGGAGGGCTCCTCCACCCCAATGACATGCACAGGGTTTTTCTCTTGTATGAGTCTGTGGATATCAAACAGGGCCAGTGGCCCTCTCGCTGGCTGTGCTGCTCTGGCCTGATCCCTGGGGCTCTGTCCCGACCCTGCCTGGGGATGCCGGGTGTGATGTGCACTCCGACTGGAGGCCTGCTGGCGCCTCCGGGACCGCCCGGACGGCTCCTCGCCCCTGGTGTGGGTGATCTGGTGGCGAATAAGGTGGGAGCTCTGGGTGAAGCACTTCCCACACTGGGTGCATCGGAAGGGCCTCTCGCTGCGCAGTGCCCTCTCCTCCTGGCTCAGAGGTGGTGTGCAAGGGTCGGCGTCTGCCCACTGTGGCCTCACCAGAGCCACTGTCTGCTCAAAGATGGGGCGGCAGGCGAAGGGTGGCTCCCCTGCATGCTTGCGCTGGTGCTGGGCCAGCGAGGAACTGTGCCGGAAGCCCTTGCCGCAGCGGTTGCACTCGTAGGGCCGCTCCTCAGTGTGAGTGCGCAGGTGCAGAAAGAGGCAGGTGGTGCGTGAGAAAGCCTTCCCGCACACACTGCAGGCATAGGGCTTCTCCCCGGTGTGTGTCCGCCGGTGCCGGCCCAGGGAGGAGTTCTGGTTGAAGGCCCTCCCGCAGTCCTGGCAGGCGTAGGGCTTCTCACCAGTGTGGATGCGCCGGTGCACGGTGAGGTGTGTGCTGTGGCAGAAGGACTTCCCGCACTCCGCGCACTTGTAGGGCTTGTCCCCCGTGTGGATGCGCTCGTGCTGCACCAGGGAGGAGTTCTGGCTGAAGGCTTTCCCACACTCCTTGCACACATATGGTCGCTCACCCGTGTGGATCCTCTTGTGCACAGTGAGGTGTGCATTGTGGTTGAACGACTTCCCGCAGTCAGTGCATTTGTAGGGCTTGTCCAGGCCCTGGCTCCTCGGAAGCTCCAGGCCCAGGACGGCCTGGTCGGAGGGCCTGTGGTCCTCTTGAAGCTGTTCTTCCAGGGAGCCCGCTGGCTCACTGGCCATGCCTGGCTCAGGGTCCACACCTGGCACTTGTGAGTCAGAAGAGCAGAGATACTCTCCCTTGGAAATCAGGAGTGGCCCTGGGCTGGAGCTCAGCACACAGCTCTCCCCGCACCTGAGGCTTTCGCAGCCTTGACTGTGAACTCCCCCTTCCTCAAGGCCAGATGCCAGTTGCCACCCATCACTCTGGTCCTCTTTGTGTGTCTGGCCCTGGCCCTGGCTCTCACACGGCCACGTGTCCCCCACCAGGGAGGAGTAAGTAGTGACCTTCGGGAACTCTTCTCTTTCTGCGCCGGTGGCCAGCTTCTCTTCAGGAAAGCCTGGCTCCCAGCCTGCAAGAAAAGCCAAGACTTCTGAGCTGTTGTGGGAAGACGAGTAGAAGGACTGGCCCCATTCTCTAGGATCCTACCTACCTGCCCAGCAAACCCCGATTCAGCCTGTCCTTAAGCATGGCCTCGCTCCTGGGCCACGCACGTGGCACCAAGGGGAGGGCATAAGCCTTCTGGCGGGCACTGCTGCTCACCACACTTTAGTGCTTTAACACATCCCCACTGGGTTTAACCACCGGCGGTACATGCACGACAGTCCTACTGGGGGCTTGTACCACTGGTGGTACAAATAAATCTGATCAGTTTTTGTTTTTTTTTTGGCTGGAGAGGGGACACAGTCTCACTACGTAGTTCAGGCTGGCCTTGAACACATGGTATTCCTTCTGCCTCAGCCTCCTGAGTGCTGAGACTACATGCATGTATCACATCTGGCTGGCTCTGATCATTTTTTTTTTTTTTTGGTTTTTCTCCGGTACCGGGAACCGAACTCACGACCTTGCGCTTGCCAGGCAGGCGCTTTTGCCGCTGAGCTAAATCCCCAGCCCCGGCTCTGATCATTTTTACCGGTCTTTTTAGTAATAAAATTTAAAAAGGCTGTAAGTGAACTGATTCCAGTTAGTTGCTTGAATGTGAATAATTACTACCCAAATACAAATATTAGTATTATTACAAAAGAGCATACCCAGGTTAGCTATATAACATCATATGATCAAATTCACGTCAAAGCTACCCGGAAGCAAGAGAAAAGTTACAGCCCCATCATGAACGTGTTAAAGCAATGTGTGCTTCGTACCTCAAGTTCTGCGAGGTGCAAGTCCTAAGCCCAGGACCATCAGGGCTGGTCCCCGGAGGCTCAGGGGAGAGGTGCCTTGCCTTCTCCAGTTCTGGGAAGGCCTGGCCCTTGCTGCAGCTCCAGGGACAGCAGTGTGGCACCCTCGTCTCTCAATGACCTCCGCTTCTCATCCCATACCCCTTCTGACTCTGACCCCTGTGATCACACTGGCTGTGGGGATCAGCATGTGGACTTTGTTGGGTGCCCTTGGCCTCTGGACCCTCCTCAGCTGTGAGTCTCGCCAGTGACACATGCTTGTGCTTAGCATTCAGGGCCCAGTCTGGGCCTAGAGCTGACTGCTAATGGGTGCTCAGATATCTGCATCTCAGGGAACGCTGGGGTGACTGGGAAAACGACAGCCCAGCCCAGGGGGAAGGCCCCAGGGAAGCAGAGCCCAGCCAGATGCCTGCTCCCAAGTCTGGCTGTGTCCACAGCACCATCAGGGTCGGATAAAGTAGGTCAGGACACACAAAACCCTGTACACCAATGTTCACAGCAGTACTCTTCTTAACTACCAAGGAGGTGCCCATCAACCGGTAAGTGGATAAAGAGAACAGCACACAACGCCAGGCATGGTGGCACATGCCTGTAATCCCAGCACTCAGGAGGCTGAGGCAGGAGGATTGTTGCGAGTTCAAGGCCAGCCTGGGCTACCAAGTGAGCTCAAGTTCATTCTAAACTGCATAGGGAGACCCTGTCTCAAAAAGACAAAAAAAAAAACAAAAAAAAAAAACAAAAAAGAGAACAGCACACAAATCATATCCTAATGGAACTGTCACAAGAAGCAAACAGATCCACCTCCTTCCAGCACAAGTCCGCTGTGGTCACTCCTCCACTGACTGCGCATCTCCTGACATGACGCAGGCCCTGTGCTGGCTCGGCCTCCTCCCTGTCCCTCTAGCATGTCCCCTGCTCCTTCCCCAGGACTCCTGTACACAGTGCCACCTACCTGGAACCCCATCCCCTGCACAACTGCTGCTCCTAGAGCATTTACAAGGATCTGTATGCTAAGTTTTGAAAACAATGTCATGATTTTAATACCATACCCGTGACCCATGCAAGTAAGACATTCTGCTTAACATTTAAGGCCCATGTGTTATCTTTGGAACTGGATTTAGTTACAGGGTAGACCTGAGGGTTATAGGTACATGTTCAATGAGGATTTGCTCCTGATAAATGTATCTGAGACAACAGCAGCGAGACCTGAAGGAAGGATTTGCCCCGCTCCAGCTGACGGTCCCATGTGTGCTTCCTGGGGTTCAAGAGCTCCAGGGCACCAGAAGCACTTGGGTGGGAGGCTAAGTGTTGGACCCTGCCATATCCTCTCTATTCCAGAATGTGGTCAGGGCACCAATGCGCCAGCAAAGGGATCAGGGTTGAGACTTGCCTAATCTAATTATGACCGTCTAGATCCCTCCTCCCACCTTCCCTAGCAATTAGGGTCTGGGCAGGTGGAGTAACTGAACCCTGACCTCAGTGGATGCTATCTGAACACTGATAAAAGGAGACAGATATGAGTACCAATGTTCTTCCTGATGCCTCCTTTTCTTCCTGACTAGAGCACCAACGCAATGGCTGGTGCTGCTGTCACCACACTGCACCCCTGAGGAAAGGTCAGGGGAAACCCAGAACCATGGGTACTGGGATGTCTCAGATGCCAAGCCAGCCCTAGCAACAGCTGACTCAGGAGCCCTTTTTTGGGAGGAAAATGCTTCCCTCGTTTTCAGAGGTGTTCTAACCTGGTTGTAAGGTATCTACACCTACATACAATCATTTCTGTTAAAAGAACAGAGCAAGGCCATGGGAACTGGTTTACAGAATCTAGTATGCAAGAGCAAGATGGAGGAGATGAAGGGAAGCTGAGGAGGCCGATGAGAGAGGAAAGATCCAGGGAAGGTGATGCGGCAGATGGAGGAGAGGAGAAGGATGCGCTCCAGGTTCAGAGGAAGGAGCCATCCCCAGAGGTCTGCTCACAAGTGTGGCTCAGGGCCACAGGGGAAGTTGGATTTTGGGAGGGCTCCCCACGCTGACTACTGAGGTGTCCACTGCACCCCAGAGTTTAAGCACACTACGTGGCCCAGCCCTCTGTGACCAGCTCCCAGGAAAGCCCAACACCGCCAGGCCCCTGACAGATCACATTCCCGTGCGTGGTCGCGGTGCACTGCTGGGGGATGGAGCTTGTCTTTCACTCGGAGATTTGGAAGCTCTTGGCTGCCTCCTCTACATTTCACCCCAGCTGGTTTGGCTCTGTATCCTCTGGCTGCAGGCCTCTGCCACGTCCCGTGAACCTCCTTGTGAAGAGGTGGCACGAGGAACCCCAAGGGCACCCTTCCCACCAAGCACATCTCCAGGGATCTCCTGGGCTCTCACCTGAATGGCAGCTCTGGGTGCATCCTCGCTCCCCCGCCCAGAACTCAGCCCCTTGCTCCAGCTGGGAGATGACATCAGGCTTAGGAAGCTCGGGACCTGGACATGGAGAGACAGCAGGGAGAAGGTGGAGGATGCTCTGAGGAGCCAGCAGCCCCAGCCCAGATGATGCAAGGTGCTTGCACTGGACAGGAGGGCAGGCCCCAACCCACACGAGTGCCCACTGGAACACTCAGGTCAGGTCTGCACAGGAGGCCCCGTGTCCCAAGCCTGCAGTGGGAGAAGCAGGCCTTACCCACAGAGAGCAGGTGCCCGAAGGTCTCCAGCATCACGTCACGGTACAGCGTCCTCTGCGTAGGGTCCAGCTGCCCCCACTCCTCCTGGGTGAAGTCCACGGCCACATCCCGGAAGGTCACTGGCTCCTATAAGAGCATGCAGGTCTCCGTCAGCTGGACCACCCCCATCTCTGCTCCCTGGAGGGCACAGGCAGAATGGGAAGGACAGACTAGGCAGGCTAGGGTCCTGCGGGGATGCAGCTCCTGGGCAACCATGTGCAGGTATGGAATGCACAGCAAGGACCTGTGAGAGCACCCAGAGTGATCAAAAAAGCCAACCCAGCCGACCCACAACTGGTCAGACAGTGACGGTGCCAGCAGAAACCAGCTGAACCAGTGATTTGCAGGGTTCTGAGCTTGAGAAATGTCTCCCGTGTCAAGACACAAAGTTTTAGAGTCGTTTTATATACAGCAACAGCTAACTAATACACCCACTGACCCTTAGATTAGAAGTTGGGCTCATGATCCTCCCAGTCAGCAACTCCTCTTCCTTCAGGCTCGTGGAATCAAAGTGGATGAGGAGAAGATCCCCTGGGACCTATCCTGTGATGAGTGGGGCCAGGGCTTAGGAGGGAGCTGGTGCCCCATCGTGGGGGCAGCAGGGTCTCTGAACCGACTGACTGTGGGGAAATACAAGGCCCATGTGGTCAGGACTGCCAATATTTGGAGACAAGGTAGAAATCAGGTCAAATTTTTATGTGAAAAATTTCAACTTTTGAGCCAAGTGTGGTGGTACATGCCTGCAATCTCAGCATTCTGCAAGGCTGAGGCAGTAGGATACAAATGCAAGCCCAGCCTGGGCAACTTAATGACTTAGCAAGATCTTGTCTCAAAGTAAAAAACAGAAAAGGGATGCAGACATGGCTCAGTGAAAAGGCCCTGGGTTTTGTCCCTAGTACCACAACTAACTAAATATATTAAGTAACCAGCCCTCCTTGGGAAATTGATATAGCATATCTAAAATATGTCCCTCAAACAAAACTCTTTGGTGGGCTGCCTGTGGCTGTGCCACAAAACCAGATATTTCTGATCAGATTCTTGCTTCAGCCGCTTCGAACTCAGGAGGTACTATATACCCAGCTCTGACTCCCAGCTTCCATGTACCCAAAGCACCACTCTGTTAGGCTGAGGTGGGAATTCAGTGGTCAAAAAACACTTCCTTTAGGACAACTGGATAGCCACATGCAAAAGAAAAAAAGGTGGCTTCTTACCTTATACCATATATAAAAATTACCTCAAAATGGATCAGAGAAGTACATACAAGAGCTAAAACTATAAAACTCTTAGAAGAAAACACAGACAGAAATCTCTGTGACCTTGAATTTCACAAAGGAGTCTTGGCTATAAAGACAAATGCCCAAGCAACAAGAGAAAATACAAATAAATCTGCTTTCATCAAAAGAAAATGTTTTTGGGATTCAAAGGACACTCTCAAAACGGAAGGACACAACTGCAAATCATACATCTGATAAAGAGACTTTTATCTAGAATATATAAAGACTCCTACAACTCAGTAATAAAACACAACCCAATTAAAGTTTGTAAATAATCTGAAGAGAGATCTTTTCAAGAAAATTATAAAAAATGATATAAAAAATGGCAAATAAACACAGGAAAAGATGTTCAACATTATTTACCAGAAAAATACAAATAAAAACTAAATCTTCAATTTAAAAAAAAACTATTTCTTTTTAAGAAAACGTAAGTAGATTTAAAAATACTGAAGAAATTTTTGTAAGGGCGGCTCTGATGGAAACATGTACCAGTCTTTGGCTGGGAGCAAAGGTCTCTGCTCCTATCCCAGTGTCCTCATCCAGCTGAATGCCTGCCAACCCCATTCCTGTGCCTCTTGCCCGTCCACCATTACTGCCCACTCTGCACTGCTCATGGGGGACAGCCAGAAGCCATGGAGTACTGGTATTTCTGGGCCATGAGACCAACCCCTCAGTGGCATCTCGAGTCCTTCCTGCCTTGGCCCTGCTGTCTTATGGGCATCCCTGCAGCTCTCCTGTCCTGCACCACTGGGGCCAGCAGATGGCATGCGCTCAGATCTCTGTCCTCCACGCCAATCCTGACTGCTGGCCAGGCCACCTAACGGCAGTTCATTATTTCTCCTACTCTCATCCCTTAGATACATAAGGGTGCCTCTTGCCCTGCCCTTACCTCCAACCCCAGGCCAGTCCAACTTAAAACACCTGAATGTCTCTTCTTTACCTCTCGATAGACCAGAGCAGTGATGGTAAATCTTTTAGAGACTGAGTGCTCAAGTGCAACTAAAAACCCACTAATTTACTGCCGAGTGCTAACACTGCCCCTAAGTGCACTGTTATCTGACGCTCGGCTGCTGGGGTGACGCTGGGGTGATGTGGCTCGAGTGCCAACAGAGAAGGGTCTTCATGACTGCTGCAGCACACGTGCCACAAGCTCACCATCACTGGACCAAAGGACGATCTCTCAGCTTGCCTCCAGTAGGCTAAATAATGGACCCCAATATACCGTATCAAGGTCACAGTTCTCAGAACCTACAAATACTGGTGTATAGCAAAATGGACTTTGTAGATGTGATTAGGATTTTAAAATGGAGAAATTATCCAGTTGGGCCATAAATACATTCATAGCCAGGCATGGTGACACACACCTGTAATCCCAGCACTCTGGAGGTTGAGGCAGGAGGATTGCTGCAAGTTTGAGACCAGCCTGGGCTACATAGTGAGACCCTGTCTCAAAAAATCAAAACACAAACAAATGCCAATCACAAATATTCTTACAGGAGGTATGCAGAAAAGATGTGAATGTAGCAGACAGAAGGCAATGTGACCACTGTCAGTGCCGGCTCTGAAGACGGAAAAAGGCCACACAGCAAGGAAAGCAGGTATGCAGCTGGACTAAAGGCAAGGACAGTAAGATTCATGCCAGAGTTCTCATTTTTAAACTAAATGTGTGTTGTCTTAGGCCACCAAGTTTGTAGTGATTTGTTGTGGCCGCCACATGAAATTAAGATACTGGACCTGACAGCCGTATACTTTCGGACGTGGCTCCAGTGGCGGCCTGCTTCTGCTGAGCAGGGTAGACTGATGTAGGTATAGGACACTGTGGAGATCACAGTGAGTTCACAGTCCAGTCATGATGTGCTCCCCACCTCACCCTTCTCCATTCTGTGGGAAGCCAGAGCCCACGTTGTCAGGTCCCTGAGCAGTTTCACAGAGAGGCCCACATGGAAAGAACTGAGCTCTTCTGCCAGCACCCACAGGAGAATGAGCGTCTTGAAGGTGGATTCTCTAGTTCCTGTCAAGTCAACCAGAACCTCTGAACTGAGCTACACACTCAACTCTAAGTCACTAAGTCGCTAAATTGCCCAAGTTAGGCTCCAACTTGTGATCCTCCTGTCTCAGCCTCCCAGAGTGCTGGTCTTATAAAGCATGTGCCACCACACTTGGCTGAGTGAACTATCTTGAAGGTAGATCCTCTAACTCACCCATGACTACAGTGGAGTTTGTACACACCAGGCAAGCACTCTAACACTGAGCTACCTTCCCAACTCTTTTTACTTTATTTTCAGACAGGGTCATGCTACACTGCTCTTGAACTTGTGATTCTCCTGTCTGAACCTCCCAATTAGCAGAGATCACTGTCCCGTACCATCACGCCCACACGGGCATTACCTCGACATCTTGACTGTAACCTCAGGAGCCTGGGCCAGCCGCTAAATCATGCCAGGGTTCCTACCTATCAGAAACCGTGAAATAACACTTACTGTTTCAGGTCACTGCATTTTTAAGGTTGTTGCGGTAGCAACAGGTAATTAATATACTTCTCAAGCCTTTCTTATACTTTTCCTTGCCAAGAACAAACTACTGTATGATTGTGTCTCATGCAAAGGGTGAATAACACGTCCATAAAAACTTACAATCTCAATTATCAGTAGCTGCACTGTGAGTACCAAGTCTGAAAAGGAAAACCTCTACAAACAAACCACAAGGGAACACAATTTCAAAGCTGCCGAGTTTGAGGACAACCAAGCTGTTTCGTCTCCTGCTCAAGAGGAGCGTCTCCCGGGCGGCGTCTCACAGACGGCGCGGCTCCGCCCCAAGCGCAGAGCTTCGACCAAGCGACCCGCAGCCGCTCCGGCCGCACCAGCCGTGGCGCAGGACGCCGGCGCGGCGCCCAACTCCCGCGGCTGCGGTGCC